TAATAATATCTGTAAGACGTCGTTCTATCATTTGCGTAACATTGCTCGTATTCGGAAATTTATCTCCGTCCATACTACTGAAAGACTTGTCCATGCTTTTGTGACATCCAGGCTTGATAATTGTAATTCTCTTCTATATGGTTTACCTAATGCTCAAATTGATAAATTACAATATGTTTTGAACTCTGCTGCTCGTCTCGTAACTCTCTCCAAGAAGTATAATCACATCACTCCTGTCCTTTGTTCTCTGCATTGGCTTCCTGTGAAACATCGCATCAATTTTAAGATTCTACTCCTCACTTTCAAAGCACTTCATGGTCTGGCTCCTGTCTACTTGTCTGATCTCATAACTGTGTATAAACCTAAAAGAACTCTCCGCTCATCCAAGGAACTGCTTCTTGTTACTTGTCCGTACAATCTTAAATCTTATGGTTATCGTTGTTTTTCTGTTTCTGCTCCTGTTCTATGGAATTCACTACCGTCTCCTCTTAGAAACACTTCATGTATAAAAACTTTTAAGAAAGACCTTAAGACTCATTTGTTTAAACTAGCTTTTGAATCATAATTTATATATATTTTACAGCGCTTAGAGCCGACTTGTATAGGCGCTATATAAATCATATTATATTATTATTATATTATAAAGTGGTTTAAGTATAAAAGGAGAAGTCATGAATAACAATTATCTACACAAATACTAGTTAGAGAACACCAATGCTAAAAGTCTCTTCTATGATGACAACAACTACTCCACAAAAGCCACAACATTGAGCTCAAATGCTTAAAGAAAGCAGAATAACAGGACAACAATTTTTTCCCCCCAAAAAACTCAGCTTAGACCTGGTCCAACACCAATCTAACCAATACACCAGTCTGTTATAAAAACAGAAGTCAGAGGTAAACCTCTTTCCTGCTTTCAATCACCCATGCTTTTGCAATAGGGGTACAGTGAAGTGGAATTTTCTCTCCTGTTTTATTGGAAGCGATTGTTTTGTCCTCTGGATTGGGCTGCTGTGGGGGATAATGCAAGTGGTATATCCGACTTAGTTTAGGAATACTCTCTATCATACTTCATATTTCTCTATGTTTTTAGACACATTAATTAAGTTATTGATTGATTGATTGATTGATTGATTGATTGATAGAAAGCATGGGTGGTGTGCACCGCTAATGTGCCACCTCTCACCAAAGCAACCCGGGTTGGAGTCCTGCCAGTCTCGGTGTAGTATTTTGGTAGAGTTGTTTGTTGTTTCTCTCCTGTGATTCAAGGATTTTTCTCCGGGTTCTTCAATTTTTAGATAATTGTTTTCTAAACATTTCTTTTCCTATTCTTTCTATTTAAAGACTGATAGATAAAAAACTATGTTAGCATTGCAATGAGTTAACTGAGTTTATTGCTAATCACCACTTCAATTACAGCAATAATGCAGTTTAATGTGGTTGACCTGAAAGCAATGTGAGACAGTCTTGGCAGCCATCATACAGTCCACCATGTATGACCCCAAAGTACAGTTATATCCAGTTGAACTAGTAAGGGTTGGTTTAAAATTAGGAAAGAAAAACTAGAAAGCTTGAAAAACCTCAGAGTAAAGTCTACACTTTAAAATTACCAATGAGATATGAATATCTATGAAGCTATTATTTTATTACAGTATTTGCCCTAAAAAAATCACCATTATAAATGACAAAATAAACTGAATGAATGTTCTTTTCGTCTGTTAAATAGGCTCAAATTAGTGAGCAAAGTAGCACTTATTTCAAGGAAAAGGACTCAAAAAAATTGGCGATTGCTCACAGGTGTAAATATGCTGATCTGATGGGCATTTTTTAAATCAAATTGTTGATATAAAACATTTTACATAAATACCAGCACAATTATTCAATCAATAGCTTGAACCACAATACTGACCAAAATATTTTGCCAGCTAACATTTACATAAACACACATTTCATTCATCAAAATTCTCTTAAGATAACTTAATGATCTGCTTTTTAAAGCACATCCAAAATGATTGGATTTCGTACCTCTATGAACCTGATGCATTTTCTGTACTTCTGCACTCTTTCTCATTACTAGGAAGAAATAGTACGTGAATAAATACATAAACAAACAAAGTTAATCATTATATTGATCCATCAAAACAATGGTAATCGTTAATTAACTAACACAAGGCAATAAATTTAAGCTAACCAAGCAGCTGTCGCGTCAATCGACTCAAATGTCAGACAATGAATTCAGTGGATTTGTGAATGAAAAACGCTAATCAAATCACATTGAAAAAACACATTGAACGATTCGATAAGTGATATAAAAATTACATAAGAAGTCAATCAAACTTCAATTAGGTGATATAAAAATTATAAAAAAGATGTGAACCAACTTTAATTAACTCCAACGTGTAAAGCAAAGATAATTATTCGTTACATAATTTACAGAATCTGCAGACATGTTGTTTGCAGAGACTTTTCTGTTGGAACTGTTCAACTTTTTAAACCAGTTTACGAATCATAAGAGCCCCGATTTCGAGTCAATAATCTTTGTGTTTATAAAAGCAAGTGATACTCTACTTATTTAAATGATAATAATCCTTAATTAATAAAGATTAACGCATAAAAAAGGGTGGAAAAGGTGAAAAACTTTCTTACCGTGATACATGCCGCCATCTCGATGAACACGTGCAGCATTGTCATGGAACAAGTGCATTATGGGAAGCCATGATAGCACAGGCAGCCCACAAGTAAATTCGGTTTTAATAGATCTTAAAATGCAAAGAAAAGGAAAGGGAAAAAGAGTTTAAAAAAATAAAGACAGAGCGAAGAAGAAAAGAAACAGAAAAGAAACAAGAAAAGGAAAGAAAAAGTTTACGAAAAGAAAAGAAGGAAAAAGAAAAAGAGTCAAAAGAGTAAAAATCAAAAAGGTGAAGAATAGCCGGAATGACTTTCGTTTCTGATCAATATTCATGTCAGCGATACATTGTTTTTGAATTATTAAGTGTTCAAGTAACCGATCAAACCATTAAAAACGCCTAGATTATTTATATTATGCCCACTGTGCCTTTCGGTCGTGCAATCGCTAATCACCGATCGCCATTTTATAGAATTTATACCTTATCTTATAACGCTGATATCTTAGTTGAACAGCAAGGTCTAGCGTCTAGGGTCTAGCGTCTGATAGTAATCTTTTTGGCAGTTTAGTTTGTCTTGGGATGAAGAAATCATCCCCCACCCCTCCCCAAGCCAATACCAAATATTGGATACGCCCATGTTCTTCCATGTCATTAAGGGATCACTAACATGCACTTCAAGTACTAGTAAGGTAAACATATACATTAAATCTAGGTTTTGTCATACTTTGACTGTTTTATTTTACATCATATGTACTAACACGTTTCAGCATACTTGTCCTAAATCAAGAGAAAATTCAATTTTAGAAGTGTGTAAAATCAACTGCTGCAGCGTTAAGCGTGACACTTGAGAATTACAGAAAAATTACAGATCTTTCTTCTTTCTGCCAAGAACATATTTTATTATGCTTATTTCTCGATCCACTACCCTACTACCTTTTGGCTAGTACAGAGCATATGAATTTAGAAAGTTCTAGCTCGATCTTTAATCAAAACGGGTGAAAGAAGGAACGAAAAATATGTTTGCCCCATATAATGGAAAAGCTTTTAAAAGTCCATCCAGTGCTAACATAGGTTTAGCTCCATCCGTCGATGACCAGCTTGCACAAGCGGATAAACCACATTCAATGGTTGATAACGGGAGCATCTAAATACCAGGGCAATTAATCCTCTTCTGAAATCATGCATTCTTAACACGTAAACAATTGGGTTTATAATTGAGTTAGAGAACTGTACAAGTATAGTTAGAAGGAATATATGAAAAGAAATGCACGACAAGGAAACATAGGAATACACCTGAATGACTAGATATGGAAGCCAAGTTATAAGTGTTAAAATTGTTACTAAAAACATTGTCATTGCGAGATGTCTTTCGCGTTTCTGTGTTCCTTGGATGACTTTTCGCTGCTGAAGTCTTTGGATTCGTTTTCGTTGAAGCTTAACTTTGACAAAAATAGCTGAGTAAGACGAAATGATGACAAGAAGTAACAATAATGCAATAAATAAACAGAACCCTGTTAAATAGGAGTAAAATGGGTCAGGAGTCAGATGAAGTGCTAGGGCAAAGATTGCCGATAAAATCCACATTGCAAGGCAAAATGTTACGTATGTGCTTTTCTTCGTAGACAAATGCCGGATTGGACAGAAAGTGACGTACAAACGCTCAAGAGCAACAAGGACCAAACAAAGTCCTGGCGTTATAAGAATAAACATTCTTGCACCGACTAGTTCAAGTCGTACTTCAGAAGCAAAATCTGTGAGCTCTGAACGATAAATCTCGTACGTAAAAAAAGCAGCTAGCGATCCTCCATACAACATATCAGCCACCGCTAAGTTTATTAGACAGTACACACTACGACGACGAAGACGCCTGTTGATGATAAACGTTAAGATTGTCGCAAGGTTGGAAAATGCAATCAAAGTACCAACAAATATAAAAGTCGCCAACCATATTTTGTTAGCATTCGCCGAAGTGTCTGGTTTACACCTGGAATCAAAGGGCACCGATTCGTTGTCTTGTATGTTTGCCATTCGTTTGTTTTGCATCATAGATGTACATGAAGCTTATTGAAAATCTTGTAAAAATCTATAGCTTTTAGTCCTTTTCAAGAAATTTGAAAGCAACAATGATTTGCTATAGAGCGAGAAAAATGGTTGGTATTAACAAATAGGTGCCAAACGGACTCGTCAACTGAACGTCTTTTTTATTTAACTAATACGTAATCTAAAATGTCACCATTATTATATTGGCTGTAAGTTTTTTCTCTATTTTAATTAAAAAGGCAAAATGTATACGTACGTATAAGCAACAACACTACAATTCAGGACCTTGAAAGTAAACATAGACATCAAATGAATAGCGTGTCATTGTACGTATAATTATATTTACTCCAGGTTTATTTGAGATTAAAGTTAAATCAAATGGCATTACCAAAATGTCATCAATAGAAGGACTAAACGGGTCGTGGGAAAAGACAAAGACTGAAAATCAAATATGACTTGGAGAGAAAAGCGAATAAGTGGAAAAAACATTACCAAGACGAGCTAGTCCTTTATTGATAGGAAAGTTTGATTTATTTCATGATCAGTGTAGATGAGGAATATCGTGCTCCAACAGCACTATTAAGCACTAACGAAACTGATAATATATTATTACCTATTCTGCAAATACTATTATTAAGATTCAGTATAGAATAGTATCAATTAAAAGGTTGCCTTGGAAACAGGTATACAGCAACTGGATCGAAGTGAGATAAAAGATTCGTATGATAACATCGCATACGTTGTTTTTTGAAGAGCGATAAAACATATTTCGCAATATTTAGATAAAAACCGATAAAAAACCTTAATTACGAACTTCCTAGAATGCAATCAAAATGGCCACCATTTTGCAAAGCGACCGGATGAACGTTATTCGAAATCGTTAGATGCGAGCAGCAGCAAAATTTCCTTAGTAAACCGAATTCAGAAGTTAATGGTGAATAAACGGAGGTGATTTTATAGGTAAAACCTGACAGTTTGTGTTCGCACAGTCATTTTTCAACATTCGCAACACTCAAAAGATGTAAAAGACGTAGTGGCTAAATAAATATACGTGTATTCATTTACTAGGTTTTTGATGCTGAATCAATGGATCAGGCTGTTTAATAAATAAAAGCGGACATTTTTGACAACTGACAGCTTTTCTTCTCATATGCAACATTCACAACGCCATTATTAAAAGCTAGTTTTGCATTTTCCACTTGATTGTTCGTTCATTTGTTTTTGGCGCTATTTGGTTCACTTGTTTGTTTGTTTTTAAGCACGCGGAAAAGGTTTTATCAGTGACCACTTTATAGGATCCCATTTGGAAATTTGTTGGAGTAAAAATAGCTGATATAGTTTAGTAAGAAAATAATAAGCTGGTCTTAATATTAATAGCAATTATAAAATACAAAAAGAAGACAAATACTAAGATGTAATTATAATAATATGCTTTACTTATACATATCACATAGACAGAGCAGAAAAACGACAAGGCTGCTACTTTCGCAATTTCTTTCTTTATCTCTTATTCATGCTAAAAAAACGTTTAGTGTTTCATTCGTGTCTCTTGTGCTTTAAACTTTTCATAAAATTCTGCTAACCTCGAGCAATTCTACTTCGAAGTATTAGCGAAAATGTTAGTTTTTGTGCTGATCAAAATATCATYTCTCCCAACGTTCAGGGCGTTATATCTCAAATACCCATCCCTCAACTTTCCCAAAATTTTGGTATTTTGTTAATCAGCCCCTAAAGAGCCTGTTTATAAAATATAAAGCTTATTAACGCATAAACGTCGAAATTAGAACCCGTTTTTCTGCCCTGTCTATAACATAACTATTCAAGATTTTTTAAAAAATTTGTTTAAAGGACAAGGGAGGATTTAAAAAAATAAATGAATAGTAATAAATTATAATAATTACAATTATAATTTATTAACTTGTAAAGCTCAGGTATCTAGTACATATTCAAATGCGCTATTTACAATCATTCTAATAACGCAACACTAAAAATAATAATAGAATAAATTGAAATAAAAATTACAATCAATAAAAAGTAATATATAATAACGTATATATAGAACTGTTTCAACTAGGGAAAACTCTAATTAAAAAATGGGTCTTAAGTTTCCTCTTAAATGACTCGATAAACTGATGAACATTCATAATCTCTAATGGAAACCAGGTGATCCCAGTTTTATCAGGCAGAACGAATTAGCCAATCAGCAAACGTTTTGTTCTTAGCTCAAGATTTCCTAATTCCAAGTTTTCGGCTCGGAAAAAAACGTCTAGAAGATAAAACACATCCGTAAAAAGATTTACCAAATACCTTTTAGAAATAGCATATTTTGTCGTCGTTGGTGGAAAGTATTTCGTTTTATCAAGAGATAATAAAAAAACACTTGGAAACTTTCGCTACGAAATACAATGCAGAATTTTAAAAACAAATTAATTAAAAAATTATAAGAAGATTTTAAACCGGAGTGCAGGTCCACTAAATAACAACTTTGAAGACAAAACTTTACTAGGCAAAATAAGCATTTAAGAACAGCAACACAATTCCAATATAAAATTAGGCAACTATGCAATTATTTAAGAAACTTCAACTCAAGGGTAGGCTTTTGTGGATCATGGACCATGGGATGGATGCGTTGTCTTTTATGAAAACATTTGCAAATCAGCTTGCTAAAAGCCTTTCTAAAATCCTTCATCCTAAACAGACAGACTATAGGATTAATAAGAGAATTTGATAGCTGTATAAGTTCAATAACATTTCTGGATACAATTCCAAAAGAACGATTTGGATGCGACAATTGAACCAATTCAAAGATAATGTACGGCAACCATGTCGACAAAGATAGTGTAGTGACAAAAAATAAAGTCTTTGCGATGTGTCTCTCCCGTTTCTGTGTTAGTTCCACTGTATCCTGCTGCTGATGTTGTCTATGGCGTTGGTTTTGCAGCTTTAACTTAATAAATATAGCTAAATATGATAAAATAATAATGCAAAGTAACAGCAAGTCAATGATGAAAAAACTGTACGGATTAAGCCATGAACTGTAGCCATAAAAAGAACTAATTTGATATGGAATAACAAGAAGTATCGATAGAACCCAAATAATTGCAAATATTTTGATAAAAAAAGTGCTTTTTATCGTACGATACCTAAAAGGAAAGAAAGTTGCAAAGAGTCGTTCGATAGGAACGCCAACCAACGACAGTAAAGACGCTAGAAACATTAACTCCATTAAAGTCCTCAAGACAAATTCTGCTATGCTTTCTGATTCCAAACGCGGATCGAAAAGCTTAAGAACGAAATGGTAGGCACCGTAAGGAATCACAGACAAGCCATATAACAAATCAGCAACTGCTAGGTTTATAAGGCAGTACACACTTGGGCGACGAAGATTTCGGCTCGTGGCAAATGTTAAAATTGTTCCGACATTGAAGAAGACAATGAGGATGGCAATAAGTTCAAAAAAAGTGAGCCAGACAATAACGGCTTCAGTCGTTAACATTTCAACTTCAGAATCTAAGGATGTTTGGTTATCCATTTCTTCTTCTCCTTCTGGCAGGAAAAATATATAGGAAGGAATAGGTTATGTTTATAATAAAAACACAATGATCAACAATACATACAAACATATATACATATTATATATATATAACTGAGTGAATATTTGTCAACCAATGAACGAATAACACAAAAATCTGCGTCCTACCTTTTCATAAAAAACGACACAGAGTTTTTCTTCTTTTCTTCTCTATGAAATAATTTTAGATTAGCAAATAGTTGGTAATTCCTAAAATGGATTGAACTTGCAATTGGTTAAAGAGCTGTAGAACACGCTATCATTATATATTAGGTCAGCTTTTTACATCATACGATTCTCCTCAGACAAAATGGTGTCTGTATAAAAACTCACTTGTAAGATTTAACATGCCAAAAAGAGACCAGTGAAGAGTCAAAAGCTAACCTCTTTAACTGGTTCAAATTTAGAGGTAGAGGATGATACTAAGCAGCTGTTCACCAGGTTGTTAATGGTGCAAGAAACAGTTGTCAACTTGTTTTCATTACTGATGAATTTCTTCATTAACATTGATGAGAAATAGTTCAATCCATTAACGAAGCAAGTGATAAATTAAAATATGCAAATATGACTTAACTGTAAAAGCCACCTACATCCTTCGGCTTTTGAAACTCATTCTTCAAAGTATGGTTGAAAACACTTAACAATAATAATACTGATGTCCGATTAGCAGGGTATTTGAGAATGGATGAATTTCACATAAGGCATGTACAAGATATGTCATATTATCTTTGTAATCGAGGGTAGCTCCCCGTAATATTTATTATTCTTGTGCAGTCCATCGAGATAGATAGATAAAAACTTAAAGTTAAGAATCGGCTGAAACAAATGGAAACGTTCAAAGAAAATCGCTTCTTATATACTAAACTAATTACTATTAAAAAGTATAATATAAGTAATTAGGGGAGTGTCATACAATTCCAAATATATCCAATCATCGTAATTCAAAATGATAATTTAAAAAAAAAATGGTAATAAATATTACTTGATACGAGTTCACGAAAGTTTTAGATTTATTGATAAATATACCGATTTTAAAGTAGAATCCATAAAAGCCTATAAAAAAGTTAAAATAAATGTACTTGAAATTAGTTAATTAAAAACTACAAAGTTAGCGTCTATAACACCTCAGTTGCATCCGATGAAATCCATCCACTCTCTTATACCATGCGAATGCGGATACTTTCGATGGCTTAAGAAGTAGTGATCTTTATAACAAAGATACCATCTATATTACATATACAGTATCTAAGGCTTTGTTGGTTGAATGAAGGCTGATTCAAAGAAAAACGTACTAACATTTCGCGTCGAATCCACCTATTTTACAACAAAACAAAAAATACGCGTTTAATGAAATTCATATTCCACAACTTTTTTTAATCTGTAAGAAAATTGTATAATTTTAAACGTAAAAAAGGCGTATATAAAAACTAGACGACCGACAATCTTTCTCGACATATAACCTCTAAAGATTTACATAAAGCCCTTTTATTGATTTTACTTGACATGTTATTATCTGCCTCCGGTGTGCACTTACGTTAGTAAATGATGGGGAATTCCAAACTTCTAACGTGGTTGTGATCATGCCGAGTCACCTACAGCGTTCGTCTTTCTTTTATCATCTGCCGTCAAAAAAATATTCAATCTACATCAACGTACTACACAATATGTTTTTGTGGGCTTATTCGTAGAATAAGAGTTAATGAATTTAATTTACGTATTTCGTGGAAAAGCTTAAAAAAATTTAAAACGTTTATAATAATAATGATAATAATAATAATAATAATGATGATGATGATAATAATAATAATAATAATAATGATAATAATAATAA